TTGTTTATATATATAAAATCTTACATATTTTTATTAATTATATTATTTTAAAAATTCATATATTATCCTTTTATAATATTATAAAATCTTTCAAAACCTCATAAATTTTTATTATATAAATTCATTAGAATCAATATTACAAAATTTTTATTATAAAAGTCTTTTAAAAAAATCATAAAAACTATTACATTTATATAAAGTGTTTTTTTTATGCTAAAATAGTTTTATGAAATATAAATTAATCATATACACTTCCTTAATATGCTAGTGAAAATCTTAATAGATATTTTAGGAAAGATGAAATATTTATTATTGTATTAAATTGTAGTATAAATTAGAGATATAATTCATTTATAATTTATAATATGCTGATTTTGATAATTAATAAATAGTAAATATGTTTTGACTTTAATTCATGGGCATTAAATTCTTGATCTTGCAATCCCAAGAATTGACATTATATATTAGTTTACTCCTTTGCTCTATAGCATTCAGCAACCATAGCCATGGCTAGTACCTACACATTCCGATTCTCAGTTCTCTTAAGCCTCCTCTTAGTTTCATTATTGGGTGTTAAAGCAGAAGTTCCCCAAGCATGCTCGAACTACGAGTGTCCCACATATGATGTCATAGAAGTGAAAAAGGACTATGAAATCCGTCGCTATAATTCAACCGTGTGGATTTCGAGTGACCCTATTGAAGACACTTCTGTGGTTGAAGCTACAAAAACTGGCGTCAAGAGGTTTTTTTTTATTTTTATTTTATGTCTTTTTAGTACAGTTATAACAAATCTGGGTAGGACTCTATTCATATGCCTTTTGAATTTACTATGTGCTATTACTACTTTTTTACTTATGTATAAGATTCTTTTGAGAAATTTATCTTACTTTTTTTACAAGACTTTATTCAGATTGTTTCTTACATTAATTATTGAAAAGCACAGAATTGTTTTAAAAAGCAATTTGTAGAATAAATATATGAGAAGAGAATCGAAGAGACCCTAAAACCAAGATATATAAGAGAATGTAGACAGTCCAACTAATCCAAATAGACAATATAAGAAGGAAATTAATTAAGTTATATTTGTTGTTTTTACTCAGGCTATTTAGTTATATTCATGGTAACAACAGCCAGAAGAAGGAAATAAAGATGACATCACCTGTGGCAACTGAAGTCTCAAATGGCAGTGGTGGAAAATCATCATATGTTGTGAGCTTTTATGTGCCAAAAGTGAACCAAGGAAACATACCTACAGCAGATGGTCTCTCTGTTCAAAGATGGAAAACTAAATATGCAGTAGTTAAGCAATTTGGTGGATTTGTCAGAGAATCTGTTGTTGCAGATCAAGTTAATGCCTTGAAGGCTAGTATTGCTGGCACTAAGTGGTCTACTAAACTTCCTAAAAGTTTCACAGTGGCACAATACAATGCCCCATTTGAGTTGTTCCATAGAGTGAATGAGATATGGTTCTTGTATGATAGTGAAAATTAATAGCATTCTAAGTAGAATATACTGCACAATGCCAATTTTCCATTATATTGAATTAGTTAATAAAGTATATTATAGCTAGATAAACAATTGTTGCAATGATTCATTAGTGTGTGCTTAATTAATTATATGAATTTGGGTCAGATGATAATTTTATAAAAGAAATTATACATGTGTAGAAACTTTAATTTTGGTATTGAAATAGATTATAAAATTTAATTCAACAATTAGCTCAAGAAAAAAATCAGTTTCTTTAGTTTTTAGAATTTAAACAGGATTTTATGGATGTATGACTAATCTAACAATGGACAAATTAAATATTTCGCACCCCTACTTAGATGTGATATTGTTTTGTATAGCATGAGAACTCTGCACATAATTTGTTTAGCAAATGCAATTATTGACATGACCATGTTTTATGTTGAAGTTGTGGTGGCATTGTGATTGACCACGAGGAATCACACATTATTACAATTACAAACCTCATTTTAAAGCCAACCATGCATTTTGAATGGTTAAAATCATGATAGTTAGATCATTTAGTTCAGCCTTGGCTTTCGGGATTTTTCATTAGAAAAAAAACATTGTTAGTCATTCTTCATTTTAAAAACTGACATTAATTATATTGACACTAGTTCTTTTGCGTCGATTTTATGATCGACACTATAGAGTTCACCAAGTCGACAGAAGGTCAACTCTAAGTCGTCACTCCTAATTTTTTAAATAAGTTGTGGAAATTAGTTTATTATTATTATGTCAACTAATGCAACACTAATCATATATATATAATTTTATTTATTTTAATATTTTTATTGTCGGCTTAATCAACTTCAAAACAATTTTTTTTTGTAATTTCATTTACATAAAGATGGCTTGTCAGACATTTTTGGATACTTTTAGAGTCGAATAAATTCTGCTCCATTATTTTAAAAAAAAATAGTTTATTAATTTTTGTTTAATTTTTAGACACCATTGTTTCATTTTATTTATTTTTTTTTATATTTTGTTATTGTCAGCTTATTTGTTGGTGCTGCTAATGCTATTTTGTTATCCTTTTTTTTTTAATTTAAAAAAAATGTGTTTTTCCAAGCTGTTGAAACCTGATATTAAGTAGTTATAAAACACCAAAACAAGTATATATCTATATTTAGTTAATTTCTAAAATTCAGATTTCATTAAAAAAATTATTTAGATACACTTTTGGAAAATTCCGGTTCTCATTTATACTATTAAATTAGTGTTAAATGAATATTGATACTATTGAAGTGTCCATGTATCATTCTTGATTAAAGAATGCCTCATATGGGTACATATATTCTCAATCAACTAATATGCAAAAAGTAACAGAGAGAGTACAAAGGGTTTTGCCATATACGAAGTAGAATGGAATATTACAATAAGATCAACTTGATTTGTTATGTATTTCAACGTCTCTGATTTGTCATGTATTAGTGTATAATATACCTTGATTAAATTTGTCATATGTTTGTACCAAAAGAGAATTGGCATCAGTAGTGCTAATTTGAGCAATGATTTTCAAGCTAACTAGAATTCCATAGTATTTCACCTAGAAACAGTTATGAAACAACTCATTAACAAGACAAAACCTGAACAAAATAAAGCTAAATATATTTGCATACTTTCATTTATCATTTATTTAACGGGTGATTACAATGATATATGAAATTTTATCATTGTGTAACTAGATGTGATCATGCAAATTAAGCTAGTTGAACCAAATCAAAAGTAGAGAATATCAAATTGATGAGGCACATCCTATGGAAATCGAAGGCTACTTAGTACTATTAGCATGACTAAAGAACGCGTTAATCAGGCATGATATGTAAACAAAAATACTTAACTGATCCAAATCAATTGAAAAAAATAAATGAAGATAAAGATAAAAACTGATTATAATTAACATGCTTAATTTATATAATATAGAACCAACATGCCCCCATAAATAGTATAACCAATTAGCTAGGTGAATATCCATAACCTTTAAATTATGGCTCTTTGAATTTCAAGTACATGTACATAATTAAGTATAAACACAAGGGTGATAAAAGAAATAGATTTAGTGAGATTTAATTATGGCTTTTTTTGAACAATTAAACATGGCAAAGGCGACATGCAAATCGATTTCCAAAAACACTTGAACATCTGCAACTGCTTAAGAAGGGAATATGCAAATTGCACATAAGAAAACGAAAAACAAATCTATTATATACTAGTCTTGCATAAAGGAAGCCTGCTTATGTGTGTGCATATATATTTTAACCTTATAAATTAAAGAGCATTTTACATAGAAAACACATAATAAAGACACCACTTTGAGAATGAGTCTTTGTAACATACACCTTTATCCTATTATATGACGTGAGCATACACTATCTAGGTACCCCCACTTGACTCTCTTTTAAGAGCACCTCCAGCGGCAAGTTCTTAGAGCGTTGCTTACTGACAAGCAACGATGCTTAGAAGAAATCCCCGTTGGAGTGATCTCACGTGGCAACCCAGTTGCTTAAAAAAATTTCTTTGTTGCTTCTCCAAGCAACGGTGCTTAGCACTGAGGAGAGGCATTTGATTGGTTGAATCGGATCTACGTGGAACCTCCAAACAGCCAGTCCCGACAGCCCCCGCGCCCGACCCCCCTCCCCCCGCGAACCCCTTCCCCGCGTGCAGCTCTTGACCGGACCCCCTCCCCCTGCGCGCAGCTCCGACCAGACCCCCTCTCCCTGCGCGCGCGGCTCCGACCGGACCCCCTCCCCCTGCGCGCAGCTCCGACCAGACCCTCTCTCCCTGCGCGCGGCGCCGACCGGACCCCCTCCCCCTGTGCGCAGCTCCGACCAGACCCTCTCCCCCTGCGCGCGCGGCTCCGACCGGAACCCCCTCTGGCGCGCAGATCCGTCTGACCAGACCCCCCGGCGCGTGCGGCTCCGCGCGACCAAACCCCCCAAGACGTGGCAGTGGAGAGAAGAAGAAGAAGAGAGAAGAGGAGAGAAGAAGAGAGAAGAGAGAAGAAGAAGAAAACAAAAAAAAATAAAATGATGAAAGAGCCGTTGGTGAGAAGAAGAAAACGTAAATAAGAATAATAATAATAATAAATTTATTATTTTAAATTAAAAAATTATTACATATTTAGAATATTATTTTTTAAAATTAAATAAAATTTTACTTCATATGTAATAATTAAAAAAATTAATTTAAATGTACATTAATTTTATTGAAATTTAACATGGTAAAAATTTTATGCGGCTTGTATATGATAAAAAAAAACCATAACATGCTGATAATATTTTTTACATGCTTATTTTTATATTAAAAGCACACGATTATTGATTCATATTTTTAAAAAATAAAAACATTTCATGTTTTTTAATAAATTGAAAAGTGTTGAAAAAATAATTTAAATTTCAAATAAATCGAATAAGTAAAAATTTAAAAAATTATTTTAGAAATTTGTAATATTTTAGATATTATTTTTTTTTATAAATTTTTATCAATTTATTTTGTAATTCTTTTTATTATGTAATTTTTTTTATTGTTGTAATTTTTTTATTATGTAATTTCTTTTGTTTTTTATTCATATTTATATATTATCTATAATAATTAATTTTTTAAAAATTTATCATAAAGTATAATGTGAGTTGTCAAAAAGTGTAGTATGAGTTGTAAAAAAGTAGGAGTGCTTATAAGCAATTGTCATTGGAGCAAAAATTGTAAAAATATAGTATGAGTTGCTTATGAGTGACGTGGCACAATGGGACCCATTTAAAGTGGTTGGGAGTTGCTTATATGCAACAAGAATGATTTTCTCTTTGGTAACCAAATAATTAAACTTGGTCCTTTATCATTAATTTTAAAGATTCTTGATGGTCTATTTTTAGGAAAATGACGTCTGCACTTGGGCATTACTTGTCTTGTTTTTTACCTAGAAATAACAAATGGTGATGACTGACTCGTCATGAACAATCTTTTTGCCATTGAATCCATAATCAAACTTGTAATGAATAAATCTTTTGTATCTCAAGATCTTATCCAAGTTTTTAACACCTTGGACGAACATGAATAAATTGATCTTAAGGGAATCCACTTTATTCTTAAGTTTATCAATTTCGTTTGGAGGTTCAACTAGAATAGATTTTTCAAGAGTTGTTTCAAGAACTTTTACATTCCTCTAAAAGATTACAACACCAAAAATAAATTTTTTTTTTGGCAATTTTTATGTTATTTAACAACCATATAAATGGTCATTAATATCTATACTGACAATTAGATTATGGCCAGCATATTTCGAGTCAGTAAAACTATTAGTGGCATTTAAAGTAAGTGTTGGTAAAGACTTTTTAAATGACTGGGAAAAATAAAATTTTTTAATAACAATTCTAGCAACAATTTTAGTGATCAATAAAAGTAATTTCATTGAATAATGGATTCTCATATATGTAAAAAAAAATTGTATAGAAATACAATTGAATTTCATTCGATGAAATAATTTATTTTGATAGCGTATTGATACTTAATTAGTTAAATTCAATTAAATAAATTTATTTTTAGTCCATGCATTGAAATTGATGAGGGAATCAAATTCAATTTTTCATCCATTGATTTTTTTTTTTAAAAAAATTACTTTCTTTACTAATATTCTCATCCACCATTTCTCATAAAGATAATGAGAATAATAAATTTTTTTTATATGAGAATTGCATATTTGCAATAACACCAGATGGCCATTTATTAGAGTAATGCAAAACTTATGAGTTTATCATGTCCTTGAGATACCAAGGAAATCATTGAAAAGAAAAAAATGAATAGTCAATGATGTTATGATTCAAAGAAATTACATAATTTCATTTCTAAGATAGTCATATCTCCAAAGAAAGCAAGGTCTCTGATGATCTGGTGTTATTTGCTAAAATGTCTAAAAGGTCTTCATCAATTACAATTGAATTCTACAGAGCACAAAATAAAAAAATGGACGTCACTGCATATATGTATTCCAATAATTACTATAAGAAAGGACCAATAGAAAAGGCAACATAGTCTACCTCCTGGACTACTGGTTCTCAGTTCCTATAAGCAACATAGTCTACCTCCTAATTTCTTGAGATCAAAATTAATGATTCAATTATGTATTATACAAGGAGAATAAAGTGTGGAATTCATGAATATATATATATATATATATATAGCAAACAGAATTCATGAAAAAATTATTGGTACACAAATAGATAAATTGGACTAATTTACTTAACACAATGTCTAATACATAACCACCATTCATGGACTGATTGGCAATTGCCTCTACTGCTAGTATGCAAATAATTTCATCATTATCTTTTCTAAGAAGCTTGAGCAAGGAAGTGAGGCCACCAACTTGAACAATACTTTTTTTGTTAGCCTCTACATATTATAATAAATCAAATTACTATACAAAATAATTAAATAGTCTAAAGAAAAGCAACGAAATATTTTTAAAACCTGTTTTCACTATAACAATTGGAATTTTAGTTGATTGTGATTCTGCAAATCCAAACAAAAAGGTTGAGTGTTAAGCCATTACAAGAAATCAACAAGTAGATAATTTAGATTTGTAAACACACTATTAAAAGTCATTTAATTATACAAGTTGTTGTCTTATTGTCGTAAGTGTAATTAAGAGCCTATATCCATGAGTTTATTGTTCATGTTACTCATGCTTTTACAAAAGTAACTTAAATCTCTTTTAGAAAAAAAAATAGCATGTGTAAAATAAGAAGACATGGGCCAAACCTATTTTCGCAGTTGCAGTAAATTTTGTAGGTAATTGTGATTCTACAAATCCAAAAAGAAAAAAAAAAGTGTTAACATGTACACTTTACAAAGAGTATTTATAGGTGCAAGTACAAAAGGCATTACAAATTACCATGAGTACCAAAGGACATGTGTGGCATTTTTGGTGCTTTTTCCTGGCCAATATTAGTATCGAAGACTTAATTAAGACATCAGAAAATAAAAATTGTCTTTTACAATCAGAATTTGAAAAAAAAATGGTTAAAAGCATTTGAATCATACCTGTCCAAATGAGCTTTCATTGAACTTTTGAAGCATAGATAGCTTCGTTGGAAAATGTTTATACATAAATTTTCTAATGAAAGATAGTTTTGAAAGTAACTTATCTTGATTTTGTTTCATCAAATTCATTTCTTCATCATGTTTTTCTTTTAACTCCTTTAACATCCTCACCTCTTGCTCTAATCTTTGTACTACCTCATTAGATATATTATCAGCAAAAGTACTTCCTATGGAAGATTTAGAACCCCACAGCAAAGAAGGTGTTGGACCAAGTCCTAAGCCACGAACATAGCCACTTCTTTCAGCCCTAATACTTGGGAATACACATCTCCTTCCCAAGCAACACTACCAATAGGTTTTTCATTAGATGTTTCACCATTGTTCAATTTTTCTTACATCACATCCTATGTAAGAAAGTTTGAAGTTATTGCATACTCACAATCAATATAAAAATATTCAAAATAATTCAAATGTCATACATAATATATAACAAGTATAAAAATTGCTTAAAAAATCTAACCACTATTTGCAGACACCTCATCCAATGGCCTTCCATCTTTACGTTTCTTATGAGTTAATATAAACATTTCTGAAAGATATTATGGTCCTCCATCATAATAAGATTGAGATATGATGTGAGACTACCATATGCTAGTATTAATATTGGTGAAATCTGATCAATAACATAACATCTCACCCTTCTAGGGCAAAGCTATCTTAGAATCAAGTAACCATGACATCTCAAGAGGCTTGCACAAAAATTCATTCAGGAAACACATAGACTATTTTTAACTCCTTCAAGTAACTATATCCTAAATAAAGCTTGCGATTTAAAATATGATGACAATAGCAGAATAAATATTGTACAGGGAATACATACATTTATGGCTGCTGAACAAATGTCAATACAATAAAAGTTCAGAGTCTAATTAACAAAAAGTAACAACAATGACTACAATCAAGGAGTAGGGATGCAAGACATCAAACCTCTTTTGCATCAATTATCTTTGTTTTCTGGGTTCCAAGAGCCAAAACCATTTTTATTAGAGTTTCACCAACCTGTAACAAATTAAGATGAAAAATAACTTCTCTTCTCTTTCTAAAAACAATGCAACTCGCACTGATATAAGCCTAACCTCTTGAAACTCAATATTGGTGTACGTATGTAGAACTCATGTACCCATTATTCATAAGTATTCATTTATAATATTTATTTTCTATCTGTAATAGATTTTGTTCATAAATATTTGTGGGTACAAATATTTTTAACATCTCTATATTAAAGATACTTCTATGTATAATGTTTCTGACCACTAACTCAAGCTCCAATTCAAATATATAAGCAGAAAATTACAATGGTTATCCAATTCTAAATTTTTACATGCGTACACCCTTGAAAAAACCTCTATTGAGTATTTACTATTGATAACTTCTCTAACTTCCCTTTTTTTTATCTAACTTCTCTAACTCCTTTCTTTGGATGCTCGAAGAAATCTTAATTGATGGTCCCTTATCTTAGCCTTCCTCCTTCCATCTTTACTCTTTGAGTTTATCGAAAATCTACACATAACAAAAGTATATTTGGAATTTTAGAATGAAAGAAACCAGTAAATGATTATTTTATATTAAACCAACCGAGTTTAACTTTCAATTGAATGACATGTAGTTAAGTCAAAATCTTAAATCGAATTTTTAATTAAGATATTGATGCACAGACAAGTTATTGAATTCAATTTGTTCAAGGTGTAATCAAATTCGGTTACAAGATTAATTTTTGAGTCTGAACAAGTATGAGAACTTATGCAGGAATATTTGAAAGCAGAAAATTGAACAATGGAACTATAGATCTCAACAACTTGGAAGAGAACAGGGTAATTCTCCTTACAGCCTGAGCTTTATTTGATTTCAACAAGAAATGAAGAAATTTAAACCATTTACCTCTCAGAATATAGTTCATGTGACCTCTTGATCCATGCTTATTTGGGAGTTGGGATAATGATAAGGCCACAATCCCCCTTCTATATACTGTGGATATAGCTTCTTCCAAATTCCATTCAATAGTGTAAATAATAGCAGAATTGCAGAGTTTGCAACTGAATTTCTTAGTAATATTCTTGAAAATTTGGAAACTGATTGCTTGAATCCCACTATCCAAAAGCCAGTCTCTCATATATACATGGTTGTCCCATAAAACCAATTGTTCCAACAATCAATTGTCACAGACCACTGTACAGAATATTTAAGGCTTTATGCCAAGTAGTGTTGCAATCAACAGATACATATGCTTTTGATATTTATTGAGATGCAGGAAATTTAGAGAGCTCGATAATTTTAACCTGCCAACTGAATCCAACTACTACCAGGTTGCTTTGTAACACTCCCTTCTACCATTTTGTCTCTCAACTCTATGCAATTTTTCCACATTGATGCTGATGCATAAATGTTGGACAGTAGAACATAGGTTGAGGGTTCATTCAGTTCTATATCAGCAAGGATGTTAGATATTCTGTCTCCTATTTCAGCATTCTCATGCTTAGAGCAAGCACCAAGGAAAGTCTTCCATAGAATAGATTTTGACTGAAATGGAGCTTCCTTTATCAAAGCCTCGGCTTCTTCCAATTTTGCTGCTCGACCGAGAAGATCAACCATGCAGGCATAATGATTCATGGTTACTTCACTGTTGTATTTACTTTTCATGTACTCAAAATATTTGCAACCTTCCTCCACCAGTCCAGCATGGCTACATGCAGCTAAAACCCCAGTGAAGGTGACACCATCAGGTTCCAACCCATCTTCTGTTGCTTTGTTAAACAGGTCAATAGCTTCTCTTCCAAGCCCATGATAAGCATATCCATATATCATAGCTGTCAAGGTTACTAAATTATGGTCACTGATAGTATTGAAAAACTTGCAGGCATCTTTAATGTTTCCACATTTGCTATACATGTCTGTAATGGAAGAAGCCACATGAAGATCAACCACAAAGCCAACTTTGATAACCCACGAATGGAAACATTTGCCTATGTCCAATGCCGCTAACCCAGAAGCAGCTGATATACAGCTGGATAAGATAGACTCATCAACCTGAAAAATGGGAACAGTTTGGAATTCTGCAAAATGCTTAAGTGCTTCTTCATGATAACCATTTTGGACCCATGCCGTTAACATGGCACTCCAAGAGATAAGATCTTTCTCTTTCATGGACAAGAATACCTGTAACGCATTCAAAGTTTCATGTTTAAACACTGCATACATGTTAATTAGGGCACTACCAACAAACGGATAATATTCAAATCCTACTTTGATGATATAAGATTGGGCTTGCTTTCCTACATCAAGTGCCTTTATTTCTGCACAAGCCTGAATAACACTAATCAATGTGAACTGACTAGGTTTTGAATATTGAAGCATATCGCGGAAGATCCCCAGAGCTTCTACAAAGTGGCCCAATTCACCGCATCCGGATATGATAGTAGTCCAGGAAAACTCATTTCTTATCGGCATTCTTTTGAAAATCAATTTCGCATCATCAATAGCTCTACATCTAACATACATCTCAAGAAGAGCATTTTCTAAGCCCAACCTACAATCCTCTTCAAAAGGATTTTTAATCATGTAAGAATGAAAAGATCTTGCTTCTTTAAGCATAAAAAGGTTCCCACAAGCCCGCAGAACATAACTGATTGAAGAACTGCTTTGTGCAATACCAACTTCCTTCATCCCACAAAACAGCTCCAAAGCTTTCAAATCATTTGAATTGAAAATTAAAGTATTCATCATGGCACTTACGCATATTTCATTCTTGTTGCATACTTCAAGAAAACATTTATAAGCATCAGATATCATCCCAAAGTTTCCATACATGTTTATAAAGGCACTGCCAAGATATGAATCCATCTTAAAGCCAAGTTTTATGACACTACAGTGAATTTGAGTACCAGCAAGCTCTGCCTCCAGATTTGAGCACAAGCTGGCAACGCTCGCAGAAGTAAATGGATCTGGTTTGTTACCTTCACAAAGAAAATCAACATATAATGCAAGTCCTTCCTTAGATTTTCCAATCTGATTAAACCCAGCAAGTAAAGAACATATTGCCACATTATCCTTCTCCTCAAGAAATTGAAACACTACACGAGCATCATCTAATAATTTCAGTTTAATATAGCAGTCAATAAGAGCTCCACCCACCACAACATCATTTTCAATGCCAATCTTCACAGTCTGGCCATGAACAGACCTTCCAAGTTCAACATCCAACACATCAGCACAGAGTTTAACAATGATTGTGTATGTAAAGTGATTCCGTGCCACAGCAGAGTGACCCATCTCGTGAAACAACTTCAAAGAACCCTTCACATCACCCATCTCCACGTATGCATTCAGCAAAATGTTCCACAATGCCTCACACCTTTCACCAAAACAAACCCCATCAAAAACTTTCGTCGAATTCTCAATATCCCCACAATCAGCATACATGTGAAGAATCGAAGCACTACAAAAACTATGCGAATCAAAACCACTTTTGAGTATCAACCCATGAATGAGCTTCCCCATCACAGGATCACACATCACCCTGCAAGCCTTGAGTGCCACAGAGAAACCAAACTCGTTGGGACGCATCCCGGACCGACACAAGCCACGAAACAAGCTCAGACCCATTTCATGCTGCCCCACATGGACATAACAAGAAACCAAGCTGGTCCAAGAAACCAAACTCGGTTGAGGAATTTCATCAAACAACTTTTGTGCATTCTTAACTTCTCCAATATCTCCATAAAATCTAACCATATTATTTTGCACAAAGACATCCTGGTCGAGGGCACTTTTAAGAAAAAGAGAGTGAAGGGTTCTGCCACAGTTTACGTCTTTGTGGTCCCTCAGGTGTTGCAAGAGGGAAACACAGTCCTGGAAGCAAAACCCTCTATTGTTTTGGAGTTCAGGTGATGCTTTTGAATGAAACTGTTGTCTTCTTATCAGCATTGGTTTGTTGGGTGAATTTGAGAAGTGGGCTCTGAAAAACAAAGAGAATCTGGCGGGGACACGTTTGGTTTGCATGGAATTAGTGGAGAAAAAAATAGTGAGAACCATTTTTGAGAATGGATTTTGGATTGTTCAGTCATCTTTGCAAATACACATTTTTTTTCTGCATTATTCCATAAGTTTAGTTATCAACAGTGTGAAAGCTTGAAGTCATGAAGTGTGTGTTTGTTTTATCATAGCACATTTTTCGATGCCGGTTCAATTGAATTTATTAATCTTGTAATTTGGGATTGAATGTAGGTTTTAGACTTCTCAACTATAAAACAAACGTGCTGAAATGTTAGAAAATATTGTTTGGAAAAAGAAATATTATCGTACACTAAGCTATTGTCCTAAAAGCAAACGGTGCAATCTAATATTCAATTTACTCCTTATGGCCGTGTCTAAACAAATTTCGGTAAAAAAAATTATAATAAAAAAAAAGTCTAAGTTTCGGTCTCATATAATTAAGTAATTTATATTTTTTTTATTTTTAAACAATAAAATTGCTAATTAATTTTAGGTTAAAACCCTATTTTGGTCTTTTATAATCTTTTTTGTTTCAATTTAGTCCCTCATTAATTTTGGATGATGATTTCTCAGCCTAAAATCCATATAAAATCATAATATATGCTTACCACTCCATTAAATACTTTCATGTAGTTTCACATACACTAGTACAAAAGAGGTATATTATGTCGGATGTTTTGAGCTTTTTACGTCAGAAAACATACTGATGTAAAAGCGGGAGACGTAAATTTTACGTCGAACCTGCAAAACCGACGTAAATTTACGTCGGACATAACGAAATCCAACGTAAAAAAGTAGTAAAAAAAACAAAAAAAAAACATAAGAATGCAAGCAGAACGGCCCGTTCTGCTTCGTAGAACAACCCAAAAGAAAACGCCCACTACCTATACAAATAGAACAACCAAAAAATCGAATAAAACAGATAGCCAGAGTAGTAATGCGAAGTAGAAAAATGCTAACGAAACCTTGATTCATACCTGAGGAGCAGCAACAATGTGCGAATGAGTAACAAAGAGTTCATCCCTCTACAAAAGACAAAAAAATGATTCAGTAACAAAGGAGAGGGAGAGGGTTTACAGAGAAAAAAACAAAAAGTGATGAAGAGTGAATGCGCGCGGTGTGCCTCGCGCTCTCTTATTCAAATTTGCGTCCTTTTTTACGTCGGACCTGGTAGGGTCCGACGTAAAATGTCAAATCTACGTTGGACACAACATACCTCCGAAGTAGATTTGACTTTTTACATCAGACCCTACCAGGTCTGACGTAAAAAAGTTTGCAAAAAATTACAAAAATACCACCATATTTTTTTTATGTCGGATTTTCGTATTTCTGATGTAAACGGGGTGACGTAATATGCTCTTCCAATGGAAGATGTAGATGAGTTCTCTATTCATTTTGTATGATCCCAAGGTCAATTTTATTTTGTTATAAATTTAGGGAACCAAGACTTACGAGTATCAATTCATTTAAGACATAATAAATATAGTTTATTATGTTTCGTTTGTGACAAAGGAAAACATCTTATGATAACACAAACTTTTACTTAAAGAATACAAAACATTGTTATGTCATAATCAAAACATAATAAAAGGAGAGGGGTGCTAATTCATTTTTTAAACTAACATCTTCCATTTTTTATGATGATAAACATGTTTTTTTAAGTAAGGAGTTTATATCATACAAATGAATCTGAGAGAGTAAAGCTTTTACCTTTTAGTTTAAGTATAGATCATGAGAGACAAAAAATATCCTTATTGCTTTTCAGCAAAACAACCTCTACTTTTATTTATCTATTTATCTAAGTGTGTATGTGTATATATACCTTCTCTTCATTTTTTTCTACTTCTTCTCCCTTTATTTTCTTCATCTATTCTAAACATAGGGTAAATGTTTATGAAAAAAAAAGTATCCAATTACAACATTACTTCGTGTAGTCCAACTTATTTAATGTAATTTTAGAAACTATTTACCGATATAGTATGCTATTATAAGAAATTATAAAGTTTTACTATCCCATTATCCAAACTTTTGAGTAAAGTTGGTTAGGAGACAAGTTAATGTAACTTATTCTCTTGCTAAGCGAGCTACTTCAAATGGTAGTCCTTTTATCTATTCACAATTACCACATTGTATTGCTTTTGTTATTAATAATGAAGTGATACAAGTTTAGATTAATTTTAATAACTAAGAATGATTTAAATATACATTTAGTTTACCAAATCATATAGTATCGTATAGCATACATCTATCATATTATATACAATTACATTTACAAAAACCTACAAATATATTCTGTTGACACATGTTATGTTTAGATGACATGAGATCTATCTTTTGATTTATTTTGTTTTTGGTGCGAAATAGGTAAATAGAATTTCACTTATATTCTTTGTGATTGTTAGAGCTTTGATAGTGGGTTTCGTTCTCTGAGGCAATTTCACTCATCTTGAAACGGGTCGGGTTCGGTAAAAAAAAAAATTATAATAGATTAAAAAATATAATTTGATCTACTTTCGACTCGATCTGTTCGGGATAAATCTGTTTTTTGTTTTGATTTTTTTAATGTTATATATTTTTTAATTTAAGTTTAATGCTACAATACTTAATTCGACAGTTTTTATTTTAGATTAGAGATTATTTTATATTAAAGTTTATTTTAAATTAGAAATTTAATTTTTTTTAAAAAAATTATGTAGGTTGGTGGATTGACCTATTTAGTCTACCAACCCGTGATGGGTCGGGCCATGCTAGGTTGAAATTTTTTGGATATTAATGTTGGTGGACCAGGTTTGACTTATCCATTTTGACAACTATAATGATTGTCCTTCTTGTAAGAAAGTGTGGGGACCATCCATGTTTCACACAACAACAATCCTTTATATTTTGTTTCAGAGACAGAGACAGGGAGAAATTAAAGGGATTAGAAAAGAATAATTGAGAATTAATTCGATAGAAAATTTATAAGAAATAGAATGAAATTTATAGATTAAGTAGAATTATGTGAGAAATGAAAGAAAATTAATATTTTAAAATTATATTTTATATAATTGAAGATTTAACTAAAAATAAATTGTTTAAAAATTTTATATTAGATGAATATATAACATTTTTATTTTTTAATTTATTATTCAAATATAAATTATATTATTTAAATATATCATTAAAAATTTATTTATTTTATTATAACTATAATTATTTTGTTATTATTTTTTATTTTAAATTTAAATATATAAATATAAAACACATGCATCCGAATATGTGTTTTATTTATAAATATAGTCGACTACGTTATATATATATATAAAACACATGCATCCGAATATGTAACATTTTTATTTTTTAATTTATTATTCAAATATAAATTATATTATTTAAATATATCATTAAAAATTTATTTATTTTATTATAACTATAATTATTTTGTTATTATTTTTTATTTTAAATTTAAATATATAAATATAAAACACATGCATCCGAATATGTGTTTTATTTATAAATATAGTCGACTACGTTATATATATATATACTTAGATTAATATAAAATTTGACATATATGATCTAAGAGATATGAACTTTCAATCTAACGGTTAGATTTTTAAAATTCATATTTAATATGAGGAGGGTTCAAACGACACCGGTGTAACTTTTACTAAGTGTTACACCGCTTAATAACTTTATATTAAATGAGAATTTTTTAAATCTAACTATTGAATTATAACTTTATATCACTTTATATGTTTATATAAAATACTTAATATAAAGTTATTGAGCAGTGTAATACTTAGTAAAAGTTAGGCGAAGAGGGTTATAATAACACCGGTGTAACTTTTACTAAGTATTACATCACTCAATAACTTTATATTAAATGTAAATTTTGAAATCCAACCGTTAGATTGAAAGTTCATATCACTTTATTTATTTATATCAAATTTTCATAAAATTGAATAAAAACTTGAAGGTAATCAAAGTGTTAATATTTTAGTATATTTTGAAATGCATATATTATGTCAATTTTGTTTTATAATAATGAAGTATCAAATCATCTTGAATTAATATAAAATTTTGTATATATGATATAAAAATAAAGAATTTTCAATCTGACGGTTGAATTTGCAAAATTCATATTTAATATAAAGTTGTTGAACAGTGTAATATTTAGTAAAAATTACATCGGTGTTATTATAACCCTCCTCCTCTCTCTCTCTATATATATTACATAGATGAATGAAAGAATGAAACAATCCACGATTTACATAGTTTCACGTAAATCCGGCTTTTAGTGTGAAGTATTTTGGCTGTAGGTATTGTTGGAATTATATTCCAAGCAATTCCAACTATTTCACCTCCACCAAACACATATCAACAGTATTTTTTTCTTACAAATCCATGCCTTTCTCTCCTCCCCTTAAATTCTAGTCTGTCAAACACATTGTTAATTAATCAAGGGCTTGTTTTTTTCTGGATACATTCCTTCTCTACTAGTATTCATATAGTTTCTTGTTCACTTGTATTTGTTGGTTTCATTGGAAGGCTTGCAATGCCAACTTATCTTAGACAAGGAGTGGCCTTTTATCAAGTAGGCTCTACCGCTCTAACACGTAACAACTCTTCAAATCATGAATTAAGAAGTTATTATTCCTAGGAGTAATAAGTCACTAGAGTCCATGTCTCTTAATAACACCCTCCACAATGAAACAGTGAAGATTAGTAGATGATAGTGCTTTTGAAAATCCTTGTGATGCGGGTTTGGTGGGTACGTTCCTCCACTGTCAATGGTTATGTGGATTTACAGTTCATTCAACAAACATTAACGCAAAAAAGCATCTATATTATGCATGAATTAATGTTCACATGAGAAGCTGACTATACTCAAGTTATTATTACGAATATGATGCATTAGTTGCACTTCAGCTATTGTCATTGGATGATATTCAAATGCATCCATATGCGACGGTTATCAAGAAGATTTAGGTTTTTAAATCTTTATCTTGACACTTTTGTTGGTTCATGCATTTAGGGAGGCCAATTAATGTGCAAATTGGTTGGCACAAAAAAAAAAGGATCTTCAACTACACCCTTTAAATTTTTAGCTTCTTGTCCAATTAAAATGAAACAATTCTTGTGTAATCATGGCTTTTGAGTTTTCTTTTTAAGATTGCAATTTTGCTTTGCTTTTG